CCTTCCATCCCCACCCACCAAAAAGTTTTCATTGACGTTGATGAAGTTGTAGCTGCTGCTGCTGCTGCCTTTTGTGGCTTTTGCATTTTATAGAAACTGTCAAATAATAAAGCTAATTTGCATATTTTCCGCAGAGCAGCGGTGGCGTTTTCTTTTCTCTCTCGGAAAAACGGAAAACGGAAAAACGATGTGTGAGTCAGATTTCAGTTCTCAGTTTATCTCCAGCTGCAGGCATTACTATAATACACAGTATATTTGAATGGAATGCCCCCCGCATTCCTCAGGATCTCATATGAATTCGTCTTATTATACCCTTGCAGAGGGTATTATGATTTCAGTCAGAAGTTTGCAACGCAGTGAAGGAGACGTATCCGACCCCATAAAGTATATATATTCTTGATCAGCATCACTAGACGAGTCGATCTAGCCATGTCCGTCTGTCCGTCTGTCCGTCTGTCCGTCTGTCCGTCTGTCCGTCTGTCCGTCTGACCGTCTGTCCGTCTGTCCGTCTGTCCGTCTGTCTGTTTCTACGCAAACTAGTCTCTCAGTTTTTGAGCTATCGGGATAAAACTTTCCCAAAAGTCTTCTTTCTATTGCAGGTAGTATATATGTCGGAGCCGACCGGATCGGACAACTATATCTTATAGCTCCCATAGGAACAATCGGAAAAAAAAAACTTTAAAAAATTCTAACTTCGGTGTTTTTTGAAATATTACCTTCTACTTTTGGGGATGTTATTTTTTTAATATTTCTGAATTTCGAATTAATTATTTAAAAAATCGGACTACTATATCATATAGCTGCCATAGGAACGATCGGAAAATTAATGGAAAAGTAATAGGAAATAAATTCTAGCTTCTTTGGTTTTTGTTGTATTATCTTCTACTCTAGAATATGACTCTTTTTAAATATTTCCGAATTTCAATTTTAATTTTATCGAAATCGGACGACTATATCATATAGCTGCCATAGGAACGATCGGAAAATTAATGGAAAAGTAATAGGAAATAAATTCTAGCTTCTTTGGTTTTTATTGTATTATCTTCTACTCTAGGATATGACTCTTTTTAAATATTTCCGAATTTCAATTTTAATTTAATCAAAATCGGACGACTATATCATATAGCTGCCATAGGAACGATCGGAAAATTAATGGAAAATTAATAGGAAATAAATTCTAGCTTCTTTGGTTTTTATTGTATTATCTTCTACTCTAGGATATGACTCTTTTTAAATAATTCCGAATTTCAATTTTAATTTGATCAAAATCGGACGACTATATCATATAGCTGTCATAGGAACCATCGGAAAATTAATGATAAATATTAGAAAATTGAACATTTTTGCGATTTGTTAATTAATAGGAATGATCTGCAAGGGTATATAAGCTTCGGCTGGCCGAAGCTAGCTTCCTTTCTTGTTTTTTCATCGCCTTAATAATGAACCTTCTTTATGGGGGACAAGTTGTTAACGGAGACTACAATTTAATTACGGCCTTCGGAATATTAGATTTATGAAACACCAGCTTGAAAACATAATTCCACTTCGAGCGATGGCACTTGTTATCCTATTATTTTGTTTAAATATTGGCATTTTTACATTTTGTCTGCAAATAACTTATGTAAATATGGGCCAAACATAAACAAACCACCATCATCGCACACACAAACAAACACATAGAAGAACTCCTGAGAGCACAAATATTGGTTTTGTGTCCCACACAACAAGGCAATAACAACTAGAGCAATAAAAATAACAATAATAATAATATTAACAGCGGCAACAGCGGCTCAACAACGGCACTCGTTAGTCAACATATTTCTAATAAACAAAATATTCACGTTGTAATAATAAATTGTACATGACATTCAACATAATTTACGTGAAGAAGTGTTTTTATATTTAAGTTTAAATTAATACAGAAAACGAGTGTGGGAACTTTACTTTCTGCATTTTCGAGTGCTTGCATTCTATTATTTGCTCATAACTTTTTAAGAAATGGTCCAATTTAAAAATTTTCTTCTACATTTCGATAGGTATTATTAAACGCAACAAAATGACATTAACACTTTTCAAAAATTTATAAAGATGTGGGCGCCAGGCTTTTTTAACTTTTAATTCTTTTTAAGGGTTTAGCACACTTCCTTTAATTTAGCACACAAATTTAGATAACTAATCACCATTCACACTTTCCAATATGAAAATATAATTCCACTGGCGGAAGTTAAAGCGTGGTCCCATTGCGTTTTTGGTTTTTGGCCGGCACATAAATCAAAGCGCCCACAAATAAATAAATATTTAAAACAAAACAAAATGCCTTTTCGATGGCCCTTTCATCGCCGTGCATTGTTTACGAGTTTAATTTTGCATATGCCCGGTGGACACGGCCCCCTTGGAAAGGTTGGACCCCCTTTCGCCGTCATCCAAATTGGCCAGAAAGGAATTTCAGTTGCGGCATCCATTTTTGTGGTCGAGAGCAGTCGAAGGTGGTAACAGGTAACTGGTAGGCGGGGGCATCTGGGCGTGGCAGGTGTTTAATTGAGGTCACTCAAGTCGCGGACTGGAAAGTGGTCGTCGCCCAAGAAGCACAAGTGACCTGTTTACCCGCAAGACGCAAACGAAAACGAACACGAACCTCAAGATACTCGTTTAAAGGGGGAGAGAGCGAGATAAATTCCGGCGAAACGAAAACGAAAACCAATAAATAAGCCGCAGATGGAAAGAGAGAGGGAGATGGTAAAAGTAATGCCCCGTCCGCGGTTACGTCACAAGTATCTATCAGATACGCGCACGTAGCGCCGCTCGATCGCCGCTGCACAGTGGTTACGCTGCTTACGAATACTTTTACGAATTTCGGTTTTTATTTTTGTCTTATTAATCTATTTATCATTGGTCTTTAGATTTTATATTGCAATTTTTAAAACGAGAAAAAGAAAAAAAAATGTTTTTGTTGTCTAAAATTTGAATCCGTTTTTCCACCCTAAAATATCAGTATTTTTGCCGAAATAAAAGAAATAATAGCCCAAAATGGGTGTGTCATACCTTTTTGAACTCGTAGTTTAATTCTGAATCGATTTGCGTTCCAATCTGGACATTTTAATTTTTTGTCATTTTTTGCAAAAAATCATGATGTAACCCCTTATAAAAATTTCGAAAATTTGTGAAAATTTTTATTTTTCCAAAAGTGATGGGGATCGTTAGTTTAGGTTGTTAGCGGTTCAAAACAGTCGGTCGCGTAGCTCTCGACCTTGATTTGTCCAAATTACGGCTAAAAAACCGAAAAAAAAGTTTACTTTTGTTAGACAAATTCAAATCCATTTTTCCCCCCTTTTTTTTTGCTGAGAAGTCTTTTTGTCACAATTACCACTGTGCAGCGCCTGGTTATCTCATTGTTCTCAATGCCCTCATTGTTTTTGGGTCTGCGGAGCTAAGCTTACAAAGTGAGATAGGTGTAGATATAGGTAGGAGAAAGGTATTCTAAAATTGCTAGGAGGCTTTTGGAACCTTAAATTTTCAAGATAATATTTTTACAGCCAACATTTTGTCCAGTGAATGCAAAATTCATACAGCAAACTGACTTGCTTACAGATTAACGTGTTGTAAGGGGTTTCCCTCCCACCGATGTTGCGACACTGCGTGCGTGAGATCCAAATAGAGGGCGGCCCATGCCCATGCCCATCCATCTTGTTATCCACAAGTACGCATTTGTGTCTCTAGGGATATAGATGTATATCTGCATCGCCATCAACATCTGCAGCAGGTGATGACATCACTTGTGTAATTTTTTGTGTCCGAATGACAAGCGGATTTGCATCAAAAACGTGCAACAAATTTACAAGATAATCAACACGGAGCACATAACGAGATACACGTACTGACAGATACTCAGATACTCGACTCGAGTCAGTTGCAAATGCAAATGGAAATCAACATTGAAATGGGAATGAAAATGAATGAAAACGACAGTGCATTTCATATTTGTTTTCGGTTGTTTCGGCTGTTGTTTTTTAAAAGGAAGGGCTGCCCCCATGAAAACTGAAAACTTTTCGCTTTCATCGGCTTTGGGCTCTCGGCATTCAAATTGCGCTTGACCAGGCTCAAAAAGCAGCTGTCGGTGGCAGTTAATTAAATGAAATTACACTTGGGAGCCATTTCGGTTTTCGGCAAAGGGACTTTCGCCTGCTGCATCGAGATTATCGCGGGAGAAAGTGGTTGGGGATCGAAATTGAGATTGGGCGGGGTTTTTGGTTGATCTCTTCGAGATCTTTTAGCTTCTAGAATGTAAATCTGATTTCTGCAATCACAAGCCATTAGCATAATGGCCAGAGATCGATCAATTAGCAGCTCTTTCGGGGGCTCAATCAAAATGAAACACTTTTACTTTGCTTTTCGCGTTTCGCTTTAACAACGATTAACAACCCAAACACCGAAATCCGAAATCTCAAATAACGAACCCAAATCATAAGCAACAACAAGAAATGATGTTTGTTTTATGCGCATAATTCGAAATTTATTTAATGTCTTATTAATTTTACATAAGCGAGCGCTTCCGCGAGTCTGGGAAAATACCCTGGGATAACTTTGAGGCAGATGAGATGAGATGGAGCAATTAACAGGCGGAGCTGAAGTGGAAAAGTAAAAGTTAAAAAAAAAACACACAGGTTGCAGCTGCAGGTGGCAAGCGACCGATTTCGCTGCCGATCGACAAAGAGATTTGAGAACTGAATTTTGAGTTTCGAGTTTGAATTTCGAATCTGAGTGCGTGGGAGTTTTCGGCTGAGTTTTGCCAATCAAGTTGCCAGCCCAATCGAACCGAACCAAACCGAAACAATAAAATAAAATAAAGCAAAGCCCTCAATTTGGTTCACATTTGGCGGCCCCCGTAACTTTCGATGTTTTCTGCTTTTTTGGGTCTGCTGGAAAGCTGAAATCCGAGATCTCAGCCTCAACTTGTCGTGCTGTCTGAAGAGCCATCAAAGCATCAAATCAAATTATATATGAATTTGTCACAAGTTGAAAGCGAAAGCCCAGACAAGCGTCCGCCACTCGATCGCTGGTTTTATAAAGGTTTCCTTTGTTGCAGTCCACATTCGGCAGTGCCAGCATCAGCATCATCACTCGGCACCCAGACACTCGTCACTCGAATTTTTGTTCCAGGAAAGATAAACAAAATACCCCCAAGGAATCCCAGATGTTGCGCATACGCAGTGTGGACCACGTTCTACTGATCGTTCTGGCGGCAGTCGCTTTTGTGGCGGCAAAACAAGAGAGTGCATGTAAGTAGCAGGGAAAAAATACGCAAAAATACTATAACTACTTTACTGGCATACAAAAATAATTATCCATTAATTGCCCTATTTATAAACAAATATTTAATAATAACATGAACATTTTTCCCTATTTTTTGCAAAGGTTATTTTTCTATAAATTGTATAGCTTACACATAAATAAAATACTCAAATAAATAAATTTCAATTATAGAAATACTTTAAATATTTTAAAATCAGAAATTGGTTTAAAAAATTGTGTCTTAATCCAAAAGATAAGCTTTACGAAATTCTAATTATTAAAAAAAATACATAAAACTAAAAAAAAGCGTTGCTAAATTTTAACTATTATTATTGATTTACGTTTAATTCGATGGCTTTTTTTATGAGATTTTCAATAATACTAATAAAATACAAAACTAAAAAAATATGAGAAGCAACTTCTGACTCTCGAGTTCATCATAGCAAGTAAATAACCTATTTGTTTTTGATCTTTAAGCGCGTCAATTTGGCGGTCAGAACTTCGGCAACAACCTGGGTCCCTCCTTCGGGTCATCGGGGGCCGGGGGTTTCGGTGGACTGGGACCTGGTTCCGGAGCTGCCGGATTTCCGGGACAGGGCTACGGACCACCGATACAACAGCCTCCGATTCAACAGCCTGGCTGCCCGCTGTGCGACTCGTCGGTCTACTCCTACTGCTCCCACAAGATGGTCCACGATGCCTGTTGCTGCGATTTTCCAGGTAATTAATCAAGGAAATCAGGGGTGCGAAAGCCTCTGGCCACATTATTTATGCACGCTCTTTAATCGTCTTTTTTTTTGGATTTATTAATTTGATTTCATTTGCATTTCCATTCAATAGCAGCGCAGTTGCGACCTCCCCAGTGTTTGTACTACGACTGCTCGCTGCTGTATGCCAAATCCTGTTACGAACACGCCCTCATCAAGAACTGCTGCTGCAATAATCCCTACTGACGCAGAAATATGGGATATGGACGTATCGTAGAGCGCAGCCAAGTGATTTGTTTGCTTAATTTATTTATTCAATACCAATCCCAATCGCAATCCATTTAAAATGCATGTGCATGTGCGCCGCGAACAGATTAATTTTTAAATCAAATTCTTGCGACGCTAAATTAAATTAAATTAAGTAAATTATTTGAAACGTTAGTTGTGTTAGCTTTGATTACTGGCTAATTGGATGAAGAGAAGGAACACGGAATTGGCTTTAAAAACGGGGGATTTATTAATGGGCTTACGAGTCAGAGCCACAAAAAAATAAATTTAATGCAGTTAATTAATCACACATTACTTAAATATTTCTACATACTTATTAAAACAATATTTACCATTTTGATAATCATAAAAACCCCAGTTTAGTAGGCTTAAAAATGCCCCCATTAGCGAGAAAATATTACGAAAAACTTTGGCCATGTTTTTCGGCACAAAACATGATTTAATTTTTGAAATTTTTTATTTCTAAGCCGTAAATTAAATACATTCTGCAACTGGATGCCAACTTGTTCGCCGGATTATTCGGCATTAAAAATGTGTTCGATTAATTCATGGCTTTTGTTTTCATTTTCATTTCACCTACTCGCTGCCTCTGCCTCATTTATCAATTGTCGTGCTCCGCGATATTAGCATAATGAATGTTTTCTCTCCAGATTAATTGATTTTTAATACGCAGCCAAACTACAGATTTTTTATTTCATTATCTAATCCCAAATTATGTGGCTTAATAAATTATTTATATGGCCATAAAGTATAAAACTTTCCATTTACACGCACATTTAAATTTAAATTAATTAGTTGCAGCAGCAAACACGACCAATTGTGAATAAATAAGGCCCAAGAAACCGAAATAAACAAAAATGCGATAATTTTTTCTTTTCTTTTTTCCCGCTGGAGAAATAAAAACAAATCCAGCAAAGTCTGGAAATTTTGTTGTCGATTATTAGATGACAGCAACAAAAAAAAACACATTCAGAAGATAATAACAACGACTCAAAACTTCTCTGGCTTTCTTCAGTCCCTCTCCATAAATCTAAAATTATAAATATAAAAATCTCTCGTAATCCACACAGCAGAAACAGCGCTGCGAAAAATTTAAATCCAAGGCGCGGCAAGAAATATTAGCATATTACATAAGAATTTTCACTTTCATTTAGTATGACGAAGATTCAGATTCCACTCCCCTCGATTCCATTCCATTTGAGCCAACTTTGAGATGACGAAGACGCCTCTCGGCAAATACTTTTTGCTTGATTAGCATAAATCTCTATATTAAGTGGCTCGACTTGCTTTGCCCCTTCTGTATATTTTCTTCTTTTTTGGGAATTTTTTAGTGGATAGAGGGGGGATGTCCGACTAACAGGCGGCAAGGCCGTTTGCCGTTTGCTGATGGAGAAAGCTCCACTCCACTCCATACCCTTGCCACAGGGTATACCACGGGGCATTACGACACTCTCCAAACTCTCCAGCTGTTTATTAAATATTTATAAAACTGATTTATACCATGCATCTGCTAATAGGTTTACATGGCCGTCATGCATCACCGAATTTCATCCAATTTAGGTGCGATGACTAAAAAAAGGTCCCAATAGTCTGATCCGGGTTTCACTTTGATCGACTTAAGGTCTTCATGGGTTAAATGGATAATAAAGAGAAGATATTATCGAAATTGGAAGACTGAGGAAGGTGATTCGAATAATTTAAACCATTTACGGATTTATCAGCAATAAAAGAATTGTATTTTAAATAATAAAATAAATATATAAAATATAATAAATAATAAATCAATTATAAGATAATAATAAATAATAAAATTGGGACGATAAATATATAAAAATACTTATCTAAATAAAAATTGGAATGAATATAGGGAAAATAATAAGATTAATTGGTTAAATGACTTCTTGTTTCCACCTTATGAGTAAAAGGTATTCAAATGCTAACAATAAAATGCAGTGCAGACTTCCGGAATACATAAATAATAAATATATGGTTATCCCACTTGAAACTATGATTTGATATATTATGCACCTAATCCTAAATCCTGCGAAGGGACTGGCTATTTCGGCTTGACTTGGAGCTCATTTGGCGCAACAATTGTCCGGGCAATCGAGCGAATGTTTTTGGCCACGCCCAAACGCTTGCCGCATTGACAGTTATTGGGCGAAACAAAGTTGACTTTTTTCTTCAGCCGAAGGACGAAGGACGAGGCTGATTGGAGAGGTCCGAGGCGAAAGGCAGCCGAGATAATCACAAAAGTTTTGTAATAATTTCAATTTTTTCCGGCCACTTCTTCTCCTTCATCTGCGGTTCAGTTTTCGCTTTTTTTGCCAACTGGATTTTACTCTCCGTTTGCACTTTTCTAACAATTTCGCTACAAATGAAACCTTTAATGGATTTCAAAAGAAAAATTTATTTTGACAATGACAATGAATTTTCCCTGCTTTTCGCCTCTCTTACACATTTCATTTTATTTATTCATCTTCAGTCCCTATTGTTGTTTTTTTTTTCCTTCTGTATTTTTTGTATTTTTTTATTGCCGTTCCAAAAGTTTTTAATGAGCGCGCGTTGAAATTTTATCTGCGAGCAGCTCAACCCTCTACGCTTTTCCTTTTCCCATTTCCCGACCTCCCTTCTCCTTGTTCTTTAGTTTCATTTCGGATTTTTGTTGCCTTTGTCTTTATGAAGTAAAAACTCGGGACACGTTTACTTCATCAAATGCGCTTAATTAGAATTAGCATCGGAATGCGACTCTCCGGGGGAATTTCCCTCTTTTTCTCTTTTTTCGCAACGCGGAAAGCAGAAGAGGAAGTGCCAGGAAAAGCAAGGATTCGAAGGATTCCATTGAACTATGTCCAACTGGGCATGGAAACCTGCGGAAAAAGGCGGGAAAAATTCCAACAATTTTTTTTTGGGAAATGTCAAAGGGTTTTTGGATTTTTCGATTGGAGGAGCAATGGCATTCTGAGGCATAAAATTCATTTAAGAAAACAGCGAGGGAATAGGATATAAATTCAGAAATCGGAAAAGTGATTTAATTTGTTGCAAGATGAATTTATAACAAAACATTAAAATGTACTAAATTAATTGTCCTTAAATAAAAATGTTTGGCTTGCTTTTGCAAGTCATAATTCATAAATTCTCAAACAAAACAAAAATGATTAAAGACTAGCTATTAAAACTATTACCCGATGTTGGGAAAATGAATGAATCTATTTTTAGTTGGATTAATTGATTGTGGTTTTAAAACAGACCAGTTCTTGAAAGTCACACAATTTATTAGCCTTTTTAACTGCTATAAATATATATAAATATTTATTTAAATATTTAGTAATTGAAACCTTAATTTCTATGGCATATTTTTAGCTGATATATATTTAAGATGACTATAAAAGTTTATTTTGAGCTGCACTTTTATAGTTTGGCGTTCCATTTCCCCGATTTCCGAGGAAGACTTAACATTTTCGCCATGCTTTCTCCGTCGACAACGATTATTACGAGAGAAGTACATCAGACATCGACTCGTAATCACCAGACACCGCAAATGGTGTTATGCAATCTCACATCGAGCAATTACAATTACAAGCACACGCACTCAAGTCACCCCAAAAATACAAAAAATACGAAAATAAATAAATATTTGAAAAGAAATTATGCTTTTGCTCTCGGCGATTGGCAATTGACAAAGAAGATAGGAAATGGCCGGCAATAAGTTTCCATTAACTGCTGGATTATATAGACGTATATAAACATAATTAGCGAGGCAGCTCATTATGGCGACGATCGCGTGAAGGATGCGACGGTGGGTTGAAATGAGGTTCCGTGACCATTTCTCACTTTCGGTAAATTAAATTCGCATAAGCGAAATCAGCAAGAAAAACGATGCCAAACTGAAACTGAAACCGAAACGAATCCAAACGAAACGAAACGGACAAAACAAACCAAAACGCTTCCAATGGCCCATGACAACATTAAAAAAGGGGAAGCTGGAGAAAAAGATTTGCACAGAAAATAATTGATTTTATAGTAAAATGGTTAAGGGCCGGTTTCTCGAGTCCCTGTCAAAGTCCCTGATACCTATCTGTCCGAAAAACTTAAAGACCAGATAAACTGTTCGTAAAAGCAAATCGGCTATCTCGACTGCTTAAATTTATCTGAACGAGAAACAATTACAGAGTGCTGTTAACGCACAGAATTGGGCTGTGAAGCGCAAAAAATGGCGTGCTTCGATTATATCACCAGCTGTTTGGGTGTAATTCAAAGGAAAAGTCAGCTGTGATTTCGTTTCTTCTTCTTAGTTGGCTTTGGCAAATCAGCTGTCATTCTATCGAGTCGAAAACGCTTAACAGGGACTCCGAGTCCCTGTCAAAGTTAGCTCTCACATTTATGCTCGAGAAAGCCAAAATGCCTTAGCAGGGACTTTATCTGTTCGAGAAATGTTAGCCGGCACTCGAGAAACCGGCCCTAAATCAATTTTCGGAAAAAAGTAGCATAAAAAATAATAAATTTTAATTTAAAAAAATTTGGTAAATTATAATATTTTCTAAAATTTAACTTGTGCTCTTTTTGAGATTAAATCATTAAAAATACTGTGAAATTCGAATTTACTCCGAGTGTACGCAGAAATGAGATAACATTAAAATGGCAAAAAACTGCAAAAGAGCTTTAGGTGCCAAGACGATGGGCCTGGGGGATGGGATCATTTCAAATTTAAAGCTGGCCATAACCGCTTTCAATCGCGCAGAGTCATCAAAATTGCCAGCGAAAACTGCGATGATTATGATGATATTATGACGATATTGTTGACGACGAGAGTGGCTTGAATTGGAAGAGAAACAGCCAAACAGCCGCCACAACGACTGTCTAATGATGAATGAAACTTTGAATGAATCATAAAACTAACAATTGAATACAAATCAAGCGAAAAGTAATCGCAGGAAGTGCAGAACAAGCAGAAATAACTAAACTGATGCAATCAAAACAAATATTAAAGACAAATTACAAACCAATAGATTTTATTCATTTAATCGCTAGAAATTTCTATAAAATATTTTTTCTTTATTTTTTTTCTAAATAAAAATACCAATAATCTTGTAATAAAACTACCACCTCCTAAGTCCAAAGCCCAATGGCTTTCCATTCACTTATCGA